TTTATATCTTTTTTTTTTTTTTTTTTTTGGTATCCAGGAATGTCCGAGTCAACTTGTATGCACCTCAACTAATCCCCCGAAGTTAGGAAGTTAACAGCTAGGTAAGTCCTTGATGGCTACCCCTTATTAATAGTCGTTAGGATTCAAACTCAAAACGGATCTTGAGTAATACACCCAAGAGTCCAAAGTGAACTGTCATACTACCTAAAGATCGTTGATGTTTATATCTTTACTGTGAATTTTTTTTACAATTTATCATTAATTGAAAATAGAGTGTCTAGCTAGTTTGTTCATTAATTCACAATAAAGTAGAAGAAAGAATAATGTACATCCAAAATCGATGACAGATTCTAGAAATTTTATTCGCTTAATTGCTTACAATGTCATTCGTGAGAATGCTAGAAAAGTGCCCTTCTGTTTGAAGATTTAATCATATGACTAAATCACCGAAAGAGGACATGCATATTATCCAACATCATTAACAGTGATACGTATATTAACTTTATTATGTAAGCAGTAAGCTACTTGATTGAAGACGTCTGTTTCTCTTTTTCTTTCTCTTTCTTATCTAAGAAAGAAAAAAGGGAGTTGCATCACAAAGCTAAAATGCCAGATCGGAAAGTTACAATGCCCAAGCATCATCAGAGAGAGTTGGTATAAGAAAAAAGAAGCAATGCATGTTGCTTAGCTTTCCTGCTTGGAAGGGTTGCATGAATTAAAGCTTACCAACTAATTAATTAATCAAACATACTTTATTAATTTCCTCGACTTCATTTGCAAATGCTAACAATTTTCGTAGGTTATAAACAAAAGCAACAAATTATGTTGAAAATGGCGCTTTAAACTTCCCTCTAATATCTATTCTAACCACCAAACTTTGAACAATGTAATTTTTGAATAATTTCACCGATTTTAATCAAACAATTCTGTCATTTTCTTTTGAAATTTGAGGAAGCTAGTCACCTGCATTGATCCAATCTTCTGATTGAATAATCTGCTGAACTTTAGTCTTATTCGTTTTAATTTATTGAATGAGCATCTATCAATGAGGTTAAAAACCTTGGCTTTGGTTTTGAAGAATTATTTAAAACTCCATTGATCACTCCAAATAAAAAATATATAAAAAATTCAATGGTACTATATCATACCAAACTAACTTTGATATATATAAATTTAATAAATTAATGATGTGCCAATGATATGGTTTACTTTGTATTATGCTAAATTAATAAGTGTTGTATTACCCAATCGTAAGTAAATTGATTATTGTAAGGTATGCTTTTGCAAAATCCAAATAATATATATATATTCTAAAGAAAAGTCAGTTGGCCAACTCATCTTCAGGGCCAATCTTTTGTGCTGATTTAAGTTTGATTACATGGGACGATCGATGTCTTACTGAGGAAGAATAAAATTTTCAATAATATTCAAATCCAACTGTCTTTTAATCTTTTAAAAATGTCGAACCAAAAATTGGACCTTTCTACAATATTATCTATTTCCTTAAAGCTATCTCAAATACACCTATTTTCTGCAGACCAAATCTTTTAAGAGTCATTGCTTTTGCATATGCTTATGCCTTTACTCGTATTCATGTGGCAAACATGACTCATGCAACCAAAAAGTAGATTTACTTGCTATGTTTAACATTCAATCTCCTTTAAATATCACCACCACACCATTTCTTGCAGACATAACACAAGTTAAAGAAGTTAGAGACAGAAGAACGTACGTAAAATCTAGCTATTCATTTGGAGAAGATGAAAAGCCCACTTTACGAACAAGTTATGGGTATTCCTGTTAACTCAATTGTTGCTGCATACTCGGTTACGACCTCATCCGCATCAATCAAATATTTACCTGAATCAGCTGCCCAATACCATATTCGTGATTCTTCGGCCAACGGGTCTCCAACAAATAAAAATAGTAACATATCTCTCTCGTCTCTCTTTGAAATATGCATATACGGATTCATGAATATCAGGGATCCTGATGAAGGAGCTTTAGTAACAGAACCGTTTTGATATTGCAGGAAAAGTGGATTCGGTTCTCGAAAAAATGAATAAGCTAGGGAAGAAAGCTGATAAATTTGCACACGGAGTCAGAGAACATGGTAAGTGATCGATACATTGATGGTTGCTAAATTTAATTACAAGTATCATGCATAAAGCTAAATACGTTTTAATTGCTATGAAACTGCAGTTAGACTGGCGCCAAAGATTACTGAAACTGTAAAGGGAAAGTTGAGTTTGGGTGCAAAAATTCTGCAAGTAGGTGGGGTAGAGAAAATCTTCAAGCAGCTATTTAATGTTGGGGAAGGAGAGAATTTATTGAAGGCTTCTCAATGCTATTTGTCAACCACAGCAGGCCCGATAGCAGGCCTCCTCTTTATCTCCACAAACAAGGTTGCGTTTTGCAGTGAGAGATCATTGAAATTCTATTCAAAGAATGGAGAAATTGTTAGAGTTCATTACAAGGTTTTGATCCCACTTGAGAAAATAAAGAGAGTAAATCAAAGTGTAAATATGCAGAAGCCATCACAGAAGTACATGGAAATATGCACTGTGGACGATTTTGACTTCTGGTTTATGGGTTTCTTAAACTATGAGAAGGCTTTCAAGTACCTTCAGCAGGCAATTTCCCAGAGCGTAGATGCTTTACAAGTCAATTATTAGTTGACTTAGAAATTTTTCTTCCCTCTGCTTCATCAGAATATGTAAATTTTTGAAGTGAGGAAAGTTAATACGGTTACGATCAACGTACATTTTTTGTTAATTATAACAATATATATGCTCTTCAGTTCAACCATTATTTATGTCGACTATATTATGAATTTGGAAAGAGTGAAAATGCACTAGAACAAGCTAGACTTTAAAAAGCACGATTCCTACTTTTCTCTGCAGAAACAATAGAGCTGTGGCAGAAAAAAAAAAGGTGTGAAATCACCACTTAGTCATGAATCTCATATCAAATGGAGTGCATATCAGAAGTGTATAGCTAATATTGGATACAATACTTCAATTTATAGAAACACGTTGAAGACAATTTTAAATAAAAAAATTGAATAGGAGCACCTAATTCCACCTTCCAATAACATTAAAATTTTAGTATTTACAATTTTTACTGAAATTTTTATATCATATCATTGTTTAAAATTACCCTTCTCTAAACCAATCCACCATTGGGTACACAGACAATATAAATGCAATCATCTACCTCATTCACTAAGCCACTAATATATATATATATATATATAACCTCTCTATAATAATACTCTGTATAGGATTAACTTCTATGTGTAATCATAAAAAATTTTGGTCCCAACTTGAACCAGTTATAAATAAGAATAAATTTCACATTATAATAAGTTATAATTTTTCTAGATCCCGTCTTAAGGAACTTGCCTTTACATAATAATAATTATATATGTATTGTAAAAAAATATATGTTATATATGTTACATTAAAGGTTTAAGATGAAATAAATTATTTATCTAAAGTTGTTTGAGGTGACAATGCAAACCTTATCGTTAGATTGTCAACAATTGACAGGGTCAACGGGTAAGGTTTGAAAAGTTTTTGTGAGTTATAATCAGAGAAGAAAATAATAGTTGTATAGGGTCGTAATGATGCTAGAATCGAAAATAGAATATAAATTTAGATAATAAAATAATATTTTAAAAGTTTATGGATGAAAAAGTGTCATTAAATCATTATTTCGGTGAATTCTTTTTGGATAATACATATGTGGTTTGTCATGAAATAATCAACATTAATTATATTCAGTCTCATTAATTGTTCACTAGGATTAGATAGGCAGGATTTGCTTCTAGTTATTGTCAACTGCTAATTCTCAACTGCTTTCTCTACATAAGCCAATCCTTCTTGAATACGTGTTAATAATTTGAACCCCAAATCTTATACTTTAAATTTGTGGTCTCATGGAAGTTAGAAGCACGTGGTAGGGTAATGGGGTGGCACTAAATATTAGCCTTCTCAGTCACCAAAGTGTCAAAGCCGGCCTTGTATTATATAATATAATATATATTCTTAATTTAAGCTGAGTTGGTATTTGGAAAAAGATAGAATCAGAAGACGTTTGATTTGCTTGGCTGAATTTAGACCAAGTCCAAATAGATGTTTCTTTTGGTCGACGTTCTACCAACTTAGTAGAAGTGAAGTATCATTATCTTAATCTTATCTTATATGTTCATGTTAATTGGTTGATCCAACGCATTCTCTTTTTCTTATAGTCTAGCATCAGAAAGTTAAATTGCCAGCTCAAAAAGTTAGAATCACACATCAACAAACCATATATGGGAAATGGATGAGGCATTACGTGGTGCCTATTAGGATTGTATTATTCAAAAGTTGTCTCAACTAATTACCATTTTTTATATATATATATCCTAAGAAGACCTACCAACTCCTTTGATTTTCTAAAGATTTCATCTCCACAAAATAACAACAAAATTTGTATACACCAAACATGGTTTTATTCCTTAGTTTATAGACTATAATATTGGAAACTATTTTTACCACCATCAAGTGATGGATTTATAACATTAACACTTAGATGCTACAAAATAACTTATAAATAAATAATAATTACAAGTTTCAAGAGAATTACTAAAATCCCGAAATTTATATCCTAAAGTGATATGTCATTTTATACAGTATTGATATGATAATGTAAAGTAAAATGATACATCACTTGAAATAAGAATTTTGAGAGAAACCCCTTTTAATACATTATCCAACCATGTAAAAGCTAATGCTAATTATTCATGTATTTCTATTAGTATTAGGAAATGTAATTTGAAAAAAAATTAAGAAGAGTGGGCTCAAAATATGTATTCTTAAAGCAATAAGAAATCTTTAAAATATATAGATACCTAGTCAATGTGTATGCCTTTACTCTTTGAGTAGTCATAGATGACTCATGGACAAAAAAGTTAGTTTAACTAGCGCACCTCAATAATGCCTTTAAATACACCTCCATAACACAAGGATTCTTCAACCCGCAGATTCAACAGCCTCTCACGGACACCCAACAACAACATTCTGCAATCTACAGCAGTTGTTGCAGACACAAAACCTAAAGAAAGAAGCTTCAAGCTACGAAGAAGCTAATTAATTCAGCTTTATACTCATCAAATATGAAGAAAACACTTGCAGAACAAGTTATGGGAATTTCAATCGCGTCAACTGCATACCCTTTTAAGAGCTCACCGAGAAGATTATTACCTGAACCTGCAAGCCAAGACCTTGTTCCATCTTCTGCAAATAAAAGGGTGCTTAAGCTTGGGAAAAAAGCTAACAAATTTGCCCTTGGAGTTCGAGAGCATGGTAATTAATTATTTCTTAATTTTGTTTAATTTATATGTGACTATGAATCATGTACAAAGTTGATGATTGATATTGATCTGACATTTTAGTGTTTTTGCAGTGAGATTGGGACCAAAGATCACTGAAATTGTGAAAGCAAAGTTGAGCTTAGGTGCAAGAATTCTTCAAGTAGGAGGAATGAATAAAGTGTTTAAGAAATTATTTAGTGTTGGAGAAGGAGAGAGATTGTTAAAGACTTGCCAGTGTTATTTATCAACAACAGCTGGTCCTATAGCAGGTCTCCTATTTATCTCCACTCACAAGGTTGCCTTCTGCAGTGAAAGATCAATTAAATTCTCTTCTCCAAATGGGGAATTAATTAGAGTCCATTATAAGGTATATAACTCAAAACTATTCATCTTGTTACTTGTTAGCAGTCTCTTTCTTCTTAAATGGCAATATGTGTCTCTCTTTATGATTCCTAACGTTGCTCGATATTGTCAATTAATTGCAGGTGGTGATACCAGTAAATAAGATAAAGATAGTGAATCAAAGTGAAAACGTGAAGAAGACATCACAAAAGTACATAGAGATAGTGACAGTGGATAATTTCGATTTCTGGTTTATGGGTTTCCTAAATTATCAGAAAGCATTAAAACAACTCCAACAGGCAATTTCTCAAGCTCAAATCAAGTGCTAGCACATCTTGTGCCCTATGTTTCATCGAATGTAATTAATAAGCGAAAGAAGGTCAACCTGACCAGTTGATTGCAGATAGTGTACATAATTTTGATAGTGAAAATGCTCATTTCTTTATCGTCATTGTCTATCTCGAAGAGAAACTTTACTTTGTAGTAGTGGTTATTGAATTGTAATTCAACAACCACGTTAGACTGTATCTCTCATTGCCATTTAATGGATCTCATCTCCACCTTCTGGCGCAATTTGTGGGTCAGTTTAAGTTCTTTATGTATCAATTACTAGTATTTTGCTTGCCAATGACTAACAGATGTTGTGATCATACAAAAGCAACGGTTGCCCTCGATGTACTAAGGCCAACATGTTCATGAACTTTCACGTTGTCAGTTGTCACTACGTATATAAAATTTACATGGAGATGGAAAGGCGTAAAAGCAATGTGAAAATTCTAGCTTTCCTTTCATTTTCAGCAATCAGAACTACATATGACATTGACTGTAAAAGGCGAACTCTTTTTCTCCAGGGAGTCAGAGCACTTCAAGTGAGGAACTTCTAGTTTAGATTGGTAAAGTTCAAAAATCGGAAAGTTTTTAAGCACTTGAGGACTTTGGTGAACAATCAATCGTTAGAATAAAACTCTTAACATATATAGTTGGAGTTGTTCAGAAACCTCCTAAAGTATACAGTTGTTGATAGCATGTTAGAATTTGTCAGAAAAAAATAAACTCAATTCCCATGTTTCTGAATGCAGAGATGACAGTCACAGTATCTGAAGGCTTTCCGCGGTTGGTGAAGTCGAAGCATCAATTGGACCAGGATTTTCAAATTACTTGGGGGCTCTGGCACTGCAGTTGCTTTAACTTGTTCATAAGCCGGCACTGTACTGATTTAATTCCTGCCCCCTTTTGACATCATCACTCACAAGCACCAACTAATAATATATACAATTGTTCCCAACACGTCCTATGAGTTATACTCGAAATGCTCACACGTGTTCCTTATCGTGAAGTCCATCTGGAAAATTGAGTGAAGGAAATCCAACCCAAATTGTACAGCATTCTCAACGCTATCAATTCCAGTGCAGTTGGCATCTAAGCAACTAGACATCAAATTAATTTTTAATAGAACCAGTAGGCAGCTAGGTTAAAAACGCATAGGAACGTTTTGGTTTTCCAGTATTCTAGCAAGGGACAAAATTGTAGCTTATCAAAACCAGCACAGAATAATTTCTTCAGCAATTTGTGCTGGCACAACTCTGTTATATTCTTTAATATCACTAAATATCATCTGAAAATCCAAACAACTTATAGACTCCCCCAAAAAAGGAGGTAGTTCGAAGAGAATATGTTCGGTAGAAAATTGAAAAGATTCACTAATTGAACAGATGAACCTGTCCAGCAAATCATTGAACTTTGGGTCGTGTCGTGTCTAATATCGGCATCAGTGCTAGCTGGAATACTTTACATACCTTCACATGGTCGACAGAGAAGTCATCTGCAGTGTGTACCTAACAAACTCCAACATCTGGACCCGGACTTCTCATCATGGCCACAAACTTTTAATCATGGAAACACCAGAGGATGACAATTAAGAAACTCAAAAGATATATATTAACCAATTTGATTAGACTCAAGTACTCAATAATGGTAAAAGTAAGCCATTTTGTTTATGAAGTTCTAGATCAGCTCCTCCAAAGAGTTTACTCTCAAACGACATAAAACTCCATAATTGAACTCTGTTGAGGCAAATAACTTTCTATGCAAAACATAAAAACCAAGAAATGATAAAGAATCATAAACAGAATCTTATTATGATGCCAAATACCAAATTTATGGAAACAAGTGAACAAATTACAACATTCCACTTCTAAAGAGGAAACAAATAGAAAATCCAACATACTTGCATAATATACATATGCATTTTGAGAGATAAACATATAAAATCACCCTACTACTACACAACCAAGATTGAAGCATAACATGTACAAAAGGAGCAAGAGACTGACGATGTTCAACACCTCATATGTTGTCCCAAAGTAAGCCCAGGGGATAATTTCTCGAAAACTTTTGACAGATGTCAAAACACATCCATCTCATTCAAACTTCCCAAAAAATTCACTTTACAACATTGAGGAAACTGCAATCCAGCCTCCTCGCAACCCACCTTTGTCACATGTGGGCAGGACCTCACATCAAGGTATTCCAGAGAGGTGCATCTGTCCAAAAGCATGCCTATCCCTGCCACAGTAACCTTTGGACAGTTAACCATCAAAAATTTTAAACTCAATTCAATTTCTCCCAAACCCTCAAAGGCAGCATCAGTCACTTGCTCACAGCACCCAATATCAAGAGCCTCTAGGTTTCTGCATTGTGTGAGGATGCAGCTCATTGAAGAGTCGGAAATATTTAAACACCAATCCATCCGCAATTTCTTTAAACTACTCTTACAAGCAGCTGCCAGTGACTTTAAAGACTCATCAGAGATGTCCCGGCAACCACCAATAACTAGAGTTTCAAGATTTTTGCAAAATTCGGCCAAAGAAAATAAAGAATCATCTCCAACTTTATAACAATCCAACAACTTCAGTGTCTTGAGAGAAGCTGAACAGGCCTTGGAAACACTAAAAATCCCAGTGTCTCCAATGTTGCTGCATTTGTTAATATCTAAGAAAGTTATATTTCGACATCCATTTACAAGATCTGTGATACCAACGTCACTTATGTTAGTGCATCCTTGAAGGACCAACTCTTCTAAATTGCAACAGTTTTTTGAAATAGCTTGTAATAACCCATCAGTTACAAATCTGCAGCCAGCAAGATGCAGGCTCCGCAGGTCATGACAGCCTTCAGCAACAGCTGACAACCCCTTGTCAGTCAGCTTTCTACAGTATGATACATCCAAGGACTGTAAAGAAGAAAGACCACATCCAATCGACACCATTCCTGTATCTGCAATACCTGCAATATAAACATAAAACGTTTGAGAGAAATACAGAAACTGATCCGGCTCAATAAGTATGTGTGTACCAATATATCATAAGTCCAGAGCAAAGAAGCAAATATGCACCAAAATAGCAGAGGGACTATAATTGGAGATCCTAGTGTTTCATAGTTAGTGTGGAAAAGAAAAAAAAAAAAATACACTTATCCAGGGAAATTTTCAACAGGTAAAATTAAAAATTAATTTTCAGCAAAAGCTAGTTGGGATACTTCAGAAAAGTGGCCAAAATTTATAACAGAAAGCTTCTAAACTTCATTCCAAACCCTGATTGAAAAAATTATATAAAATAGAGAATCGAATTCAAACCATACAAAGAAAAACAAAACATAAAACCAGAAAGTAAGGGATTGAAAAAAAAAAACAAAAAAAAAAACCGAATGCTCTCAAACAAATCTCCCATATTACATTTCCATCAATCAACTAAAAACCAAAACTAAAAGAACTACGAAAGAAAGAAATTGAAATAACCAACAGTTTGATCGTCCAAAAAAAAATTCAGCCCATTTGCAATTCCACAGTTTGTTTACCCATCAAAACCGATACCTCCCAATTCAACATTACGCTAACAAAATCAAACTAAAACTCAGCTATCCACTCCTACTGATATGCTTCTCCAAAAGGAGCAATAACCAAATTTCAGTCCTACAACACATAACCACTCAACCAAACAAAAGATAAAAAAAAGTTACCTTTACAATTCTGCAAATTGAGGACCTTCAAGGACTTAAAGCCATCAGCAATAACAGCAAGATCAGAATCAGTAACACCAGGATAAAAAGAGCGCGAAACAGACTGCGACAAATCCAATTCCACAAGTCGCGAGAATCTGGCGGCTATCTTTCTAAGCAAGTGTGGGCCGGCACGTACGGACAACTTCTTCCTCTCCGTACTCTGCAAGTACAACCATCTCTTACACACCAAACCAAATCTCTCCTTGTCCTTGTCATCATCAAGCCTTGACAGAATCGATCGCAGCTCATCGTCTCTTAGCATGTCATTAATGCAAACGAAATCCATTGATTAGGGAGAGATTAGAGGGAGATTGAGAATTGGGATTAGGGTTAATTGTGAAAAATAAATAAAAATAAAAAACCCTAACCCTAATCCGGCCCTCAGGTTCAGATAAGAGCTTTTGTGTGAAGTTTGTTTGGAGTAGAAATAACTCAAAAAGAAGCTTTAGTTGGTTGATGATGTTACAGAAATACCCTTGGTAATTGAATTCTTATTTTGTTTGTTAGGGGGTGTTTGTGTCCATAAAAAATAGATTAGGAATTTAATGTAGATTGAAAGAGCATCAGCAGTGCCGGTGGTCTCCCCCAATCATGATTGGGCTGTTTGGTTCAATTGGACTCATATTTTGAAGTCTTAACCATAAGAATCAATTCAAAATTAATATCTTTAAACTCGATACGAACCAATTTATATTTTTATTGCTAATTCCATTTATAAAATTATGAAGCTAAACTTTAAATAACTACCTTAAATAGTCGAACGATTCGATAGAAAATTTTGAGTGTATTATTCAAGAGGTTTTGAGTTTGAATCCCTCTTCAGAGTGTTAAAGGAGTAGTCATTAGAACTGTTAATCAATAGATAATTTTAGGATCCTAAAGGATTAGTTGAAATGCACATAAACTGACCCAAACACCCTTAGTCATCATAAAAAATATAAATAAATAAAAAGCTAAACTTTAAATTCCTTTGAGAATTTTTTTTTTTTTTTTTTTTTAAAATCTGAAATATACTTGTATTAAGAAATTGTGTAGCTTAGTTTGTGTTAAAAACCCATGTTAAATTAATGAACATAATTGGAGTCATGTAACAAGAGAGAGATTTCCCATTAAATTGAACCAAACCTTGCGACGTAAAAAGATAATGTATAACTCTTGAGGTTTCAGCGTTTCACCATACTTAACTCGTGAATTTTGTTATATGCAAATCTGCTCATTATCAGAATTGTTCATCAGATCAGAGCATCAAACTTATAACTGCAGAAGAAGAACTCAAAATTACTTCAATCAGCAGATATTTACTTGTAATTTTTCATTACAAATAGAACAAAGAAAAAGACTTTTACCTCTTAAAATTTTTATTTGGGAAAGAATAAATTACAGCAGTATCGACTGGTGTTTACAACTTCGCAGAATTTTATAATGAGTAAAAAGTAAAACAAAAGAATACAATGAACGGCCCTTATTCTTGCCGGATTCGATAAGTCAACGAAGAATTGCTATAACGATGTATAAGTATAAAATTTTAAGGGATGAAAGAATTAAAGTCGTAGTCAGAGGATTCACAGCTTCATTCAAGAACGCTTGCAACAAGTAACCACACAATCCTCCAAAAATTGATTGAGCTGTGTAGTATATAGTTTTGGATCATTTCTAAAATGATCGACATGAGGTGTCGAGACAAAGTTGCAAGCCCTAACCTCACGCCCAGCCTTCCGCTGCTTTTCTATAAACGACTCTACAGAATCTGCAGGAATGACTCTGTCTGCTGAGCTATAAATATATAATTGAGGACAGCTTGGTTGCCCTGATGACAATAAGCCTAGCACATCAGAAAGCCTCCTGTAACATTTTAATCAGATATTCATGTCAGTGTATATGGATAATGAAAGAAAATACCAGGACAGAGAGAAGAACACAAAACAGAATATAAAAGATAGTTAAAGATGATTCTATAACTGAAGAACACTAATGATGTGGTTTTTGAGTAAAAAATATTTGACTCCCTCCCCTTCTGCAGAACTGTAATTTCTCACACTTAATTCACTTGTTCATAAACAATCATACTGCAGACTATTCTGAAATATAATCCATCTCACTATATCTGATCAAAGTCCTTTTATTAGAAAGGGATAAATTACCTGTTCACTGTAGGAAGATGCAAAACCACCTCAAAGAACTTCTCTAGGACTAAAAGCAAAGCTGTTTCAGTAACTGCAGGTTTGGGCTCTCCAATTGCTTTTCTACCAACTAAAATTTCTGTACTTGATTCGTTCATGCTAACAACTCCTTTTGTTGCAACACTATGCTTTTTAAGAAATGCTGCTGAGAAACCTGAAGCCCATACCTAAAACAAATGAAATGAAGAACTGAATAATTGTACAGCATACTCAACCAAAACACAAACGCCAAACATAAAATATTAAATAAATCAAACCCTAAAATCACTAAAAAGGATAAGGCACTACATATCCACATTCTGGCATATTCAGATATGCATAATTTTCTTACAATCAAAGAGAAGCAAAATAAACATTGCACATGCAACAACACACTAGTTATTCATCACTTCATAGAACAAAAAACACTTTCCAATGTTACAAAGCAGAAAAATCTAATCAGCAGCTAAGAAATAAGAATGATACTAATCAATCTGGTTGTACAAGAGAGTCAGAACATAACAAAATGAATGCATTTTAGTTGAACTCTTAATCCTATCCTTGAGAAAAATGAATTTTTTATTCCAAAGAAATTTCAACAATTAAAGCAACATCATGACTCACAGTTAAATGATAATATCAAGGCATCATTTTTAAATTAAACCTGAAATGATAACTATATACTAAAAAGGAATAAGTGTGATCCAGCACAATCACTCAAGCAAATACACCATGGTGAGTGAGCGAGAGACCACACACAATGTCGAGGCACCCTAGGGTCCCCGTATTCCAATAAAACGGCATCCAGAAAATTATAGTTGATCATGAAATCTTAAGCAATGCACAAAGCCAAGCGCATTAAAAGATCAACAGAGTCAACTCACTGGTAAACAGTCAAGAGTTTATATCTATGGGCAATCTTTTATTTGCATGTAAGTGACAAAAAAAAGTGGACTCCACTTAAAACTGATAGGAATCCTTCAAACCATGATCAATTGTCAACACACAACACCAAATGCAAAACAGTAAACAAACAATAGACACATGTAAAAAAGAACAGAAAACCAACACTATCAACTTATTGGCCGTTGGCAGCATCTTCATACAATTATAGTTCATTCATATGAATAGCCTTCTATTATCCATTAAACTTTCACTTATGGAGAAGCAAACTGACGGTCACAACTCTTAATTTCTTGTTAGAAGCATGGCAAACATTTTTAAAGATGAAAAAGAGGAATACAAGGATATATCAAATATGAATGTCTAATTATTGCCAATAATACAGTGCAACACATTATTCTTGTTAACAACAAATCTAAAACAATTACAAACATCATTTACCTGAGGATCAGGAGCTGCAACAGGTGCAGAATCTACAATGCAACCTTTAATCCTTCCCATTAAAGAAGGATCCTGACTCTGAAACTTCTCAAGAATAGCTCCATATCTGTAAAAAGAAAGATCCAATCTAGCATATCAACCTAAATGCTCAAGGAAAACAGAGAAAAAGTGGTGTTTGCACAATTGTTATGCACTTGGATGTAATTAAGAGAGAGAGAGAGAGAGAGCTTACGTTAACCATCCAGTGTTGCTAAAGGTGTGGAAAACAAGATTCTTTCCTTCATCTTCCAACCAACCAGCCAAATGGTTCACAAGCAATTCAATGTTCTGTTCAGCCTTTCCACCAATTTTGTAACTGAGAATCTCAGCCATTGGAAAAGTAAAGGTAATGACATGATAACCCTTTGAAGTATACCACTCTGCATATCTCTGAAGATGCTTCTGCTTTGCTCCCAACCACCCCAGCAAAACCACTACCGTCCTAGACTTCGCCATGGAACACTCAGAAGTCCCAGAAATATCAATGGCATTAGGTTCCGGTAAATGCCATCTATATAATACATCAGGAGAAGAGGTAGGAATAGCACTTGCAACAGTACTTGGCTTTGATGCTTTAGCCAATTCGGCAGACTGATACAGATTAACAAGAACAGGAGAAGAAGCCACAGAAAAACATAAAGTATTATGGCCCGAATTGGGAACCCCGAAACTAATGTTAGGCACGGGTACTCGGACCCTAGTAACAAAGGCAAAGTTTGAAAGCTTGGAAACAGATATATGAGATACCCATGATGAAGCTGAAGGTGAATCTAAATAAGAAGGATCAACTTGTTTGGATGAAGAACACGTGCCTGATGATCTAAAACACTCGAATTTATCTGAGATGTCAGCAGAAACAGACGCAACACCAACCGCGGCCGCTGCAATTAGAGGTCGTTGAAGGATTCCAGACAAGGAACCCATATTGGAATTTCAAAACAAAACCTTTCAACTCTCATAAGAAAATCAAGCAATGCACATAGAATACTAACAGAAAACAATCAAATCACTCAAACACCTGCACAACAACAAATTAAAGAAATGACTTTGGGTAGCTTTTGTGTTTGAACAGAACAGAAGCGAACCCAGATACGTATATATAAAACAGAGGAAAACACGCAAGAAAATGCAGTCAAAATGGTATATTCGTTTGTTGAAGCAGTTTATTGAAGACTTACGTGGATTTGGTCCAAAAAAACCGGACTGTCAAGTTAAATAATAATGACAGCCCGGTTCTTACAGTTCGCACGCCGCACCGACCAACCACCTTCTTTTGGAGTCGGACACAACTGCTCTTGACAAAGAAAACCTCAATTAAAACGAGCACTTTAATATTTTCTGGGAAAATAATAATTTGATTAATTAATTAAATAAACAAAGCGTGTCAATAGACGTCGTGGTACAACTAAGCGAAGCTGGGAGTAGTAGCAAATAAGAAGATGCCACGTGACGGAGTAGTCCGACGATTTGGGGAAGAAAAGTAAACAAAAGGAAGGAAGAATGAAAAGACGGTATAGTCCTTGTTAAATTTGCTGGATTCTCCTGACAGAAAGGAGAGAACGGAAATTTAATGTGAAAAATACGGTTAGGCGATTTAAGGAAGAAATTTCGTGGTACATAACATAACGTGAAGAGATTAAATGGCTGGTGGGAGGGAAGAGAGGAAGAAAATAAGAAAATGACTCTTCTGCCCCTACGTTCTTACCGAGTCAACTGAGCTGAAGACGAAATCAGTTGAATGCATTTGAATGGGGATTAAAATATGGAAATATATATAATGCAATAAATAAATGAGAATGAAAGATAAAAAGAAGAAGAAAAATATTAAAATTGAAAAAAGAAAAGAGTCACCTGAGTAACAGAGAGAGCTTGGCCCCAAGGGATGAAGAGAGAGTCGGTGTACCTCCTCTTTGATGGGAGAATGGAGAGAGAATTTTTATTAGTTTTGTTGGGGACGCAACGCAAATTGTGCAGGCTCTGCCGATAAATATGTTAATGCTATCTTGGTTCTCTCATCTTTAAAATATTATTTTGCTTTTACTCTAAATTTGCCTATATTTCACGCCACTTTTTTTTCTTTTCCTTCAAAGATTGGTGTTCATATTAATATTATTGCTCATATGATTCGCTTTTTTATTCTGACACATCTGTATCATACCTTTATTTTATTATTATTATTATTATTATTATTATATGATTTATTTTTATTTTTATTTTTTTGATAATCGTATTGTTATCAATTTGGTCGGCCTCAAATTTTTGAAATTTATTTAATACCTTATAAATCCAAAAGACCATATAAACCATAATATTATTATGATAAATGGTCTTAATATTTGAATCAAAAAACTTAAAAAAGTTAGTAAATCTTCTTAACTTTCAAGCCAACTACTTGGGGTTTATTACATGATTTATTGTTAAATTGATGATTTATTGTTAACTTTCAAGGCAAGGACATGATCATGCTGCCATTTATGTTCCAATTTGATTAGGATTATTTATGTGCTTTTTCAATTATTTTTGTGTAAATTGAATGGAATTCAACAAGTGTTTATAAATAATTTAAACAGTGTCCCATGCGGAGAGATGTTATTAATAATTTAAACATTATAATAAGAATAAAAATATGTCGACTGGGACTTGTTTCTAGATAATTCCAAGTGAATATTCATGAAATATTCTGCCCACCCAAAATGATTCGAACTCGAAGAGAGGAAGCTGCGTCAGAATGCCCATAAAATTCCGTTGTATCTGTCAGACTCACATTTGTCCAGTCCCCTTTATTATTTATTTTTCTGTTTCACATTCTAGTCTCCCTCCCCACGTTTCTCTCCAATACTGGAGATTTCTATGCCTTAAAAAACATGGTGATAATTGCCTTATACAAGATGATAAGATTTTGTAAGACTTAACACCTCAACTGCTTGACTTTTATTAATTCATGTCCATTATCTTTGTGATTGCCATCCTTTCACTCAATAAACCAGCTTGCCAAAAGATATGGGATTCTGATGTTCCTCAACACCTTGATATTCAATCCAAGTCATCTATTAGTCAGAGATAATCTCTTCAAAAATTTAGAATGAATAAATGCTTGATGAGAATAACAAGATTTGGTTCAATAAGTAATGAAAAATGTTATCCTTACAAAGATCCATACAAAGAGGACTATAAAGTGATATCAGCAAGAAGGAAAACAAGAAAGAGAGAGAGAGAAATCATGAAAATCAAGGGTTTTGTATGTGTCTTTGTAAAACTAGCAAGGGTTATATATAATAATTCAATACTCTGCATACTGACATGGCATGAAATAAAACCTTCCTGAGATCAGATATACACATACTACTTAAATGAAGCCGCATCAGAACCCATTACTTCTACATGCTTGGAAGTGGCAAATGACACACATCCAATTTGGTAATAAACCCATATTCATACTCACCACATATCAGCTTTCTTTTCTACCCACTTGCTTCTTTTTCATTATTGCTCCCATCAACTTTTCTGTAATCAGAACACAAGTCAACAAAATAGAAATTATCAACCCATCAAAAGATTGTTCAATTTATCTAAACTCACTAACAAATACTTACAAATTGAACAGATATATATACCTCCTATGATATGAATCATGGATGAAACTTTTCATCCATCAACTATTTAACTGGTATAAATATAAAACAACACGGCTTAAATAAAAAACAAAATTAACTTTCTAACACACCGAATTCGATACCCAACAACCGTAAGTCCTGAGAATTATCAAAACTAGAAAGACCTACCTCATCCATTTCTAAATGGATACGTGTAGAGTCAATGAATATTCTACATCTTACTGGGTTCTCATCACCAAATAAAACAGTACAGTTCTCATAAAAACCTTCCTTTGGCGGAAGATTTAATAAACAAGACTTTGAAACTGACAACATATGCTTATTTCTACTACTAGTTAACTCTTCCTGATCATTCACCATCAATATAAGACGATGTGGACGACCAAGAAGCTCAGACACATATTTCATGTCACCAATAGCTAAGGCATGGCGAACACGGGTAGATGAAACTTGTCCTCTCTCTTTAAAATCCTTGGAGTCTATATCTCTGGAATCTTGATTCTTGTCCATCACAGAATTAATAATGTAAGCATCCATGCCATACTCCCCACACAATCTCACCAATTCTGATGCATCACCTGCAGCTTTGTATCCGAACCGGTAGTTTTCCCCTGCCATAGTCACCCCATTCAAATTTCTATTAGGTATGATCTAGTATATTCTTCACACTGCAAATTTTTGACATCAACATTAAAAAGACTTTTGACATTGATATTAATTTTACCTGCCACAACTCCATTTACTCCAAAATCCTTTGACAACTTCTCAACAAACTGTTGTGGAGTGAGATGTCGAACACTTGAAAATTCTATCTGGAACTCTACTGGAGCTACACCGCCACAGTGTGGGGCCCAAGATGAAAGAACCCGCTTCCGGTCACATTTGGCAACTATGGGGGCCCTATTTAGAGATATTAACATGTCATTAATATATGATAATATAACATGATCTATTTCTCTGCATTGAACTAAATCAAATGTAAGACCAAAATTAATTAGTTTACAGCGTTCACATTTAAAACGCTAATTCACCAAGTAGAAAAGGAAATTGTAATATGGTGAAACCAAACAAAACCAAGCCCGGGCTAGACAACCTTCTGTGCAGCATTAGAGAGTCAACCTAGCTCTATAAATGCAGTGTAACAAAGCTATAAACTGATCATATGTAATAGGGGCCAACAGATGCAACAGCCAACAGACTTGACTATTATTATGGATATGGCCAACTATATAAGCAGCCCATAAAAAAAATCTTTACTATCAATTTTACTTGGATTCCTTCCACCAAAATTGTGAGGTTACCACCCTGTGCGCCCAGAGAATAGTATTAACACTTTGAGGCTAGCTTATATTGGTTTGGGAAAACTAAGCCCCAAAAATTAAAATCAAACCCAAACATAACTACATCTACAACAAATGAAACCAGAATTAACCAAGTACCATGACATTGGATCCCACAGAAACGAAATTGACAGCTTCATATTAGGTCATCCAGATTCAAGTTGTAACCATCTTGTTTGATACATAGGAGACAAAAATTGCAGCAACATGAACATAGCTTATAAAGAAGCCAAAAAAAACTACCAGGAAAACATAACTCCATTTTTCATCTACCAAGATAAAACCACAAGCTGTAAAGATGTATGACTAGGCGAAAAAGCAGTTGAAAATTTCTGGCACTTCAAAAGGTAAAAAGACTTGAAAATGGGAAAGCATGAGAACAGTGTTTATACCTAGGCTCCCAACCAAATACTTCTGCCATTCCTACAAATGACAACAGATATGGAGCTCCAACCTTTGATGCTTGAATTGCAAGTTCTCGATGGCCAACGTGAAGGGCATCAAACTTCCCCAATGCTACTATCCCTCCTGGTGATAATAACAAAGAAATTGTATCTCAGATATGAAGGTGGAAAAAAAGGTTTTTGCCGACAGATTTAGAAAATATTCTAAGACTAGTTAGAATTATACTGTAAAAGAATTAAAGAGAAGCATGGTAACCAACCATATCCAATTACAAAATTACCAAAGGGCCATTAAAGGTTAATTGGCATTAAATAGAAACTAGCACCACATTAGGAGCAATAGTAGAGGTTTCTCTATACAATCATAGACAACAAAACAGAAATAAGAAATTGCAAAAGCTGCATGCAATGAAGCCCAAACAAAGGAAAAAACATAAAAAATAAAAAAAAATAAAGGAAGGAGGATGGTCTGATTTGAGTGAAAATATTTCATTAATTTTTAAACCTCCCTAAATCTACACTATGAAACAGGAAAAAACCAAAAACAAAATAAATCGTATGCTTCCTAGAACTTTAAATTTTCTTCAATTTAGCTAATGAAAGCTGGATGAGACCATGTGAGAAATCGTACAGCTCACACCCTCTCTCAATCAATTCAACATCCAAAGCTTGAGGAAACCTATTTCTGCTACGCATATAAAACTAAAAACTAAAACCCAGAGCACATAATACTTATCTAACAAAACCGTATATGTCAAACATCGGAACTGCAGCTTTTACAGACAAACAGATGTCCTTTAAAATTCAGATACTGATGTCAATTTTTGCCATCCATAAATATGTGAGGCCATGAGTAATATAACATGACATATAAAATTTTTCCATTCAGTTACAGCATATCTTTTAAAAAATGACTGAGTCAAGATAAAAAATCTTCCTCAGTCTAACGTTACAATCATGGGTCAAATCACAAATTAAGTGCAATTCTAAGCAATTCAAAACGCACAAGAATTAATGCGTAGTATATCACAAAGAAAGTAACACATTAGCTCAAAACACTTAAATTAATTAACATTTGGCCTCACAAAATGGATGCTTTTAACATCCTCTCTTGAATAAATATAAATACATAGTATTCTAAGGTAGAAAAATATGCCAAACGTAAAACTCACTACAAAATATAATGTTTGCACAAAAAAAAAAAAAAAAAAAAGAAAAGAAAAGAAAAGAAAAATTTAGGTTATTGGGTAACAGATAAAGGGAAAAAGAGAGCTAAAGAAACGGGTGAAAGAAAACCTGCCACAGGGTACAATCCTTCCGGAGGAAGCTCACGTTCATCTTCTCGTTGGCTTTATACAAAGAAAAGTAATCAGATAAACAAATATTGACAGATAGGAGAAATAGAAGACATATAACATTCCAACACATACACTTATACAGAAGTACAATCACCAGTCACTTCCTGAACATACAGAACACTGTTGCCTATTTTATTTGAGGGATTTTACAGTTATGAATTTCATTAACTTGATCTAGTTATCTTCCTTTTATTCTTTAAGGTGACTTTAGGAGGAAAAAAACCACATAAAGGGAAAATGGTTATAAGAAACTTTTAAAAATCATATTAGTTGAAAGAAAACCCAGAATAAGTGAACTCACAAATTAGGAATAGCCAAGGAAGGAAAAGAGACCAATTCACAATATGTACAGAGAATTTCCAGATATAGAAACTACACAAATTTCCCCAAAAAACTGCGGTAACAGCAGACTTACACAAGACATCTTGCTTTATCTCCTCTACCAAAAGCATCTATAAGTATAAGAAAAACAACTTAGCATATAATTAAAGGTATTTCCAACTAAATCTTCAGATGATTAAATTTCACCAAAATTTAATCACTGAGACTTTGAAAAACACAAAAAGAAGTCGAATTTCCAAGAATCAAATTCTTTTACCAGTGGATAGCACAAACAACATANAAAAGAAAAATTTAGGTTATTGGGTAACAGATAAAGGGAAAAAGAGAGCTAAAGAAACGGGTGAAAGAAAACCTGCCACAGGGTACAATCCTTCCGGAGGAAGCTCACGTTCATCTTCTCGTTGGCTTTATACAAAGAAAAGTAATCAGATAAACAAATATTGACAGATAGGAGAAATAGAAGACATATAACATTCCAACACATACACTTATACAGAAGTACAATCACCAGTCACTTCCTGAACATACAGAACACTGTTGCCTATTTTATTTGAGGGATTTTACAGTTATGAATTTCATTAACTTGATCTAGTTATCTTCCTTTTATTCTTTAAGGTGACTTTAGGAGGAAAAAAACCACATAAAGGGAAAATGGTTATAAGAAACTTTTAAAAATCATATTAGTTGAAAGAAAACCCAGAATAAGTGAACTCACAAATTAGGAATAGCCAAGGAAGGAAAAGAGACCAATTCACAATATGTACAGAGAATTTCCAGATATAGAAACTACACAAATTTCCCCAAAAAACTGCGGTAACAGCAGACTTACACAAGACATCTTGCTTTATCTCCTCTACCAAAAGCATCTATAAGTATAAGAAAAACAACTTAGCATATAATTAAAGGTATTTCCAACTAAATCTTCAGATGATTAAATTTCACCAAAATTTAATCACTGAGACTTTGAAAAACACAAAAAGAAGTCGAATTTCCAAGAATCAAATTCTTTTACCAGTGGATAGCACAAACAACATAAAGGCACAATGCAGTGATTTCACCTACAAAACGAAAAATTTGGGTTATTTGCAACTAGCTCTTTGTACCACCCCCAACTGAGAAATAAGAGCCTGTTTGACTGAACTTATGAAAATTAGCTTATAAGCAGCTAGTGTTTATAAGCTAATTTGAGCTTATAAACATTTAAAATTTAAACAGTTACATGTTTGGTTAAAGTACTTATAAATGACTGATAAATAGTTGAAAAGTTTGATAAAATGTGGTTTATAAATACTTTTTATTATTAAATGACTAAAAAAGGTACTACATTATTAAAAATAAGGGTATAGGATGGAATTTTAAAATTAAAGAGGGGTAATATGGTAATATACTTGGTCAAAGTAACTTATAAGCAAAAAAAAAAAAAAAAAAAGGTACCTTCCCCCAACTTATTGTTTTTCCCAAAAAAGTTATAAACAAACAAGTCAACTTAATTTTAGAATTTATAAACTAGTTTGACCAGCTTATAAAGGAGGTGTTTGTCTGAGCTTATGAAAATTAGCTCATAAGCAATTGAAATTTTAAGCAATTACGTGTTTGGTTAAAGTACTTATAAGTGACTAATAAATAGTTGACATATTTGGTAAAATGTGGCTTATAGGTACATTTTATTATAAAATAACTAAAAAAGGTACTACATTAAACAAAGGTATACTATGGAATTTTAAAATTAAACAAGGCTAATATAGTAATATACTTGGTCAAACTAACTTATAAGCAAAAAAAAAAAAAAAAAAATACCTCCCTCCCAACTTATTTTTTTTTTGCTTATAAGTTCAAAAAGGTTATAAACAAACAGGTCAGCTTAATTTTAGAGCAGTTTATAAGCTAGTTTGACCAGCTTATAAGCTTAGACAAACACCCCCAAACTCAGACAAACACCCCCTAAGACTTAGAATATGATAATTCTATCCAAAAGTCCATCTGCTCCAACCAAAAGACCCCCATATTCAAAGCTTAAGAGATCCAACATCGATAAAGTTTCATTCTCAATTCCGAAAATGCATCTCATCTATACTTTGATCCCTAAAGCATTGTTTTATTAGGCAGAAAAAATTCTAAAATGACCAGAAAAAGTCTTTATCTTTGTACCCAAAGAAACAAAAAGAGCAAAAGTTTGAGAGAAAATGATTGCCAAGTCTTGGGATCGACCAATAACACAATCTCTTGCAGTGTTACAGAGTCCCATGCCCAGTCTCTTGTGTGTCTGGTATAGCCAGTCTCATTTCTTAGCAAATTTCAAACTTGTTGGAAGCTCATCCAACCCAAAAACCAACTACTGTGCACTTTAATCAAACCAATTTAACTTTCAACTAGAATTATAAGAAAATTAAAGCAGAGTTATCTTTGCATATAAACATCAAAAGTTATAAAATTTTTCCCATACATTTTCTCAAAAGAACATAACGTTCAAACAATACAGCACTTATAACTAAAATGAAACCATAAGCATGGCAAATTATAACGACAGTTTAGTTAAGATGATTTTTTGTTTCGCATATCAAATTTTCTATTATATATTTTCACATATCTTCTCCATCACCAAGCATAAGGCACACACACAAAACCCAAAACAGTTGAAATGCATTTAAATTTTCTAGTTAAGATTAAGTAGGAAGAAGCGAATAAAGAGCAAAATGGAAAAGAAAAGAACCTGAAACATTCAGAGAGAAGAGGCAATTCGCCAGGGGATTTGCTTTGAAGGCTGGAAGAAGATACCGATCTCCGCTGCAATCTCTGATTATAATTTTCTCCAATAATAGCGACAGAAAGAGGCCTCACCATGAAAGAAGAAAGTTGAAAGAATTTGGAAGTACAAAACCCTAACCCTAGATTTTGATGGTACCTAGACTCGCGTATATGAAGTGAAATACGAGAACCATTACTCAACATTATAACTATTATTATAACTATTGTTATATACGTGGCTTTAACAGTTATCACAGGAACAGGAAGAAGTGAGACAGAGAAGAAACTAGTTTTCAAGTTTGTCTTTTTGAGTTCAACTCACCTCAACATATCCTGTGTGCGCCAACTGAACTGTCTTAAACTTTCAGTTAGCTCTTCTGTGTGTCCAATTTTTTACCCACGTCACCACTCCCAAATAATTAATAGATGAGAAAGAGAAGATGGATTTATTTATTTTTTCTATTTTAAAGTAACTTAAAATAATTAATTAATATTACTTACCATAAATGCCTTGTACATATGGTTTATGTTGTTGACATGTAGCTTACTTACAAGCATTAAGAGGCAGCACGATAATATTTCCAATTCATGGAGGACAAAAACAAAACAATCAGCAGCTAATTATCGACAATTTCAATGGATAATTAATTATACAATCTCAGCGGAAAACTCTTGGTATAAGAAAGCCAATAAGAGAGTCTTTCTGCGATCCCTCTTTCCTCTGCCGCTCATTGAATTTGGGTGCAGATGAAACCATCATCATGCAACATAATATGATTTGCAGTTAAGGTAAGCAAAAGCCTGCAGATGATGATGAAGCTGAAATTTTCATATCAATAGTGATATTGAATTATCCGGCTCATTATATTTTGCTTTCTTATGTTGTGAAGACGGTAGATTGAATTGCTAGTATTACATAGGCAAGTTTTCTGGAATGAACAACAGAAAAAGATCGCGCTATAAGAGCTCGAATATTATTGTTGAGTTTCTATGCGTGAATTTGCTATGTATTACATGATGGTTATGTAAGAGCTCAATTATTACTGTTTTGTTTGGCCAATATTTTTCAACCTCTCTTATACAATATATGATATAACCTAACCCTGAGTTCGAATCCCCACAATCGCAAATAAGGTTGGTTTTTTTAATTCTTATCTAACTGATAATGTTAAGGTCTCAAAAGATTAATTGAAATACACACAAACTAGTCTAAATAACCCTGGTCATATAAAAAAAAAAAAAAAACCATATAACTCAGCCTGCCGTATCCTGCACACTGCACACAGCCTAATAATAACAGCTTATTTGTAATTTTGGAACAATACTTCATAAAAGAAATACGGTGCTTGAATTAACTTGTGATGTATTGAATTCAAGAAGAATTCCGGGCTGAACTGTAAAATTTCATCAACTCTATGGTACATGGCACAACTAATACCAAAATAACAAGCTGAAATTTTACAAACACAGAAATCGCAGTGGAATAAAAATTGATTTACATATTTAAAATATAGGGTACATGTAACTTGTTCGACTCACTCACTAGGCTCCGGAGTAGTCTTTAATAGCCCAAATCGCTTGTAGAAAACTCTCACAATTTCTCTATGCAATACTTTCAACTGTAAGACAAAAATAATGAAAGAAAAGATGGTGGTAAGGTAACAACTATATAAATGTTTAGGGTATCCTCGCGCTGTTCCTTCTTCCCCACCATTTCTTTTTCACCCTATCAATGGCACCTTCCTCACTGCCAAGTTTATTCAAAATCACCTTTGTTTCACGTAGTCGCACTCCATAGTCCTTTTTCCAGGCTTCAAACATTTGCTTCAACCTTCGAAGCTCCTTGTCCGGATTTAAACTTGCTTCTACCTGACCTGACTTCACCTCCACCAGGAACTTGGCATCATCGCCAAATACTTGACTCCTTTGATCAAATTCTTCAGCCAGCCGGCTTATAACACTCAAACCTGTGCTCATTGGTCTCACCCCATTGCTCTCTTGGCCCTTATAATTGCTTCCAGTATCCCAGCTGTAGTCTACTTCATCGCTTGCATTGACTGATGCATCAGAATTTCGCTCTGAATCATCTACTGCTAGGCTCTTCTTTGCAATGGAGAGGCTGGATTGGAGGGATCTCATTTGCTTCTGCCACACTTCTTCCATGGACTTCATTTTGAGCTCATATTCAGACCAACGGCTCTCATACTGTTGAATTCGTTGGTGGAGGATGTCATTTTCCTCCTCTTTCTCTCGCAAAGCAGCCTCAGCTTTAAGGACTCGCCGCTGTAATTCAGCCAGAAACGAAGCCTTCACCAATACCTCATCTGATTCATTCCCCTGTATTGGAGTCACTATTGGTTAGTACCTTGAATGGATATACCTGGGTAATTCTAAATGTACCACCACACATGATATCTTCCATGAAACAATTGGAAAACCTAGAATAATCAACATGGGTAATTCTAAATATGTAGTTGATAGTTTACTTGAGAACATTAACAGAGAAATCGGTATTTAGAAAAAAAGCAGAAAAGATGGGAAAGTCAATCAGTACCTTGGATCCTGCAGGCTTCAATAATCCTATATCTCCCGAGCATCTTCTGACCAACCAACCACGTATAACTACAAAATAAATAAATAAACAAAATCAACAACAATTCCAAGTAAATCAACCACAAGCCAGGTTAAAAAGTTTTTGTTTATTTGGCCATTAAGTTTAACTTCTGAACTTCAACTCACAAAACGGACGTATACAATATGTATTTTCCCATCATTTTCATGGAGTTATTATATTCAAGGGTACTTCAGTGTCTTATTATTCACTCATAAATAAATTGGTACATTCAGTATCACTGCATCCTGAATTTGACCTGAAAATAACCTACAGAAGCGTACTAATGATTAGAAAATTCTCACTTTATAGGATGTGACAAAAAAATTACCTGACTGAATTACAATTGAAGAATCTTTTACATTCTTGAACTTTTTTGTAGCAACCCTGCTTTTAATCTGTCTTTGTATGACAACAGCAGCTCTATGTCTCTGAAGCATGACAGCATATTCCTTCCTGATTTTCTCTCCCCGAACAACTGTAAGAGTTATTAAGGCATCATCAACTCATGCTGTTTTAGGAGGATTTAGATTTCTTAAAATCAAAATAGTAGCTTAATGAAATAGAAGATAATAAAGCAATACATGATTGAAGAGTGACAATTCCTCTTCTAAGCTCCTTGAGGTAAAGACGAGCTTGATGCCCTCTAAAGCAGCTTTGAACACGTAAAACGCCATGAAGGGTACGATTTCTAGTATCCTCAAGCACCCCAATCTGAATAAATAATCCTTGTTGCAATTATTTGAGTAATAATAGATAGCACTACCAAAAGGCACAAAATTAGATTATACTGACGGCTAAGACCAACCAAGTGAAGACAAAGACAACACTTTGAACATGAACTTTTGTTTATTCCCAAAAGATCCATTAAGTGACTTAAATAGTAAAGGATATCTATCTATAAGCACAAAATTTGTCCAAAATAGTATACATTTCCTTTTATCAAAACTAGCCATCTCAATCCATTTCAACGATGAAACTTTACATTGTATGATTTAAAGTTCTGTGGGAATTTTAACTGATGATCACCTCTTCAGCAGTTAAAGCAGAAGGGTTTCAATTCCTAGAAATTAATTATGGGCCAAACTGCCACCTAGTCAGTACTTTATCTGGATAATAAAACTTCTAAAGAGCAAGACCAGCTCCCAACTCACATTCACTAGGACAAAATAAATAAGAACAAAAATAATAAAAGGAAAGAAAACTTAAAATACCTGTCCTGTTCGAAAAAACAACTTTGTATATCCAACTTGATACATCTCTGGCAATATATTAAATTGATGAAGAATTGCAACTGAAACGCTAAGTGGATCCTGAGATGCAAAACTCTCCAGCAGAAGAAAGCCATACCTAAAGTGAAATTCAAATGACAAACCACCCCAACCAACAAAACAGAATTACAATATATTAGTAACAGAAGAATTATATAAAAACTCAGGACACTTCCACTGAATGTGAAAAATAAAAATAAAAAATATTTTACTGTACCTTCTGGCAAACTTCTGATGAGACATTCTGGTAGGAAAGCCAGACCGTGATATTCGAACTACCTCTAGGACTCCACAACATCTCAGCTGCTGCAATACAAGCCCTTGCTCATATGATCCAGGAGATTGGAAATTGTTGGGCTTTATACAACGTATAAAATGTGGTGTAGTAGTTTCTAGACGTTGCATCAATTGGAATAGTTGACCCTAAACACAACAGGTAAATAAATTAACTCATATCTAACAAATCCTCTTTGAAAGTAATAAATTTTACCAAAGATAGGTTTATCAACCTTCATTCATACTTCCCCAGTCTCAGAGACATCAAAATAAGTTTTGTTAGAGATTAAATACTATTATTGGACCTTTACCTATCGGCTTAAACTTTTGAGACAAGCACTTACTATTACAGTATTAGACCTTTACTTGTCTTGTCTTTAAATTGATAAAAAGTCTTGCTAGAACTCACTTCAAAAAGCTAGTTCAAGGCAGAAGGGAACCCAACCACATTTATACACCATAAAAGACCACCAACTTAACGATGTGAAACAAATTCAACTTCTAACACCCTCACTCATGCTAAACGTGCAAGGTCAAGGTCCAAATCTATCACCACCCCAAACAAACATAGCTCTAATACCATAATAAGTAGGCTTAAATAGAACTCACCTTCAAAAGCTAGCTCAAGGGAAGAGGAAGCTCAACCATATATATACATCATAACAGCTCATCAACTTGACAATGTAAAACAAATTAAACTTCTAACACAAATCACCCCATTGTAGTAATTAAATTATAATAAAGTATGTTTGTGGCATGGTTGCATTTGCTATTGTGGTTGTTAGGCCTCACCTACTAACTTAAGAAACTCAATTGTAGCTTTACTGCTTTATTGACTCTCCGAATGATAAATCATAGATGCACTGCGATTAATGTAAATAAATTCTGTAAGATAATATGGTTGACACATGACATCTCAAATCTGGTATCATACATGCAAAACAACGGACCAGGAGGATATAATTTCTAGATCTAAAAATCAGTATGGCTATACAATCTTTTATAGATGCCTGCCAATTGTATTGTAACGAAGGTGAAGCACAGTGAATCTGAACTTCAGTTTGGAACACTAAACTGCTGAAAGCAATGTACCTTAAATTTTGTAGCAACACTCTGCTTTTGGGAATCTGCTCCTCCCGCTTTATATGAAGGACCAACCACAGGCTTATCGGACTGAGCAAGCATATTGGAAGCAAATATCTGAGGAAGGTGGCATGAGCATGAGGACAAAAGTTGAATGGAATCCAAGTGCAATAAGTCCCTGTTTTTCTCCAGAAATCCAGTTGTGTTGTACGAAACCTGCGTGGAAAAAAATGTGAAGCTATCAAACTCTTATTAAGCAAGAAACCAGCAACAGTATTTTTCTCAGACTGATAAATACGTCAAACAAGTAGCATCTACACATAATTAGTATGGAATGGTACAGTAAACTAAAAGGCTGAATGTTATCAGATCACTGGATCGGCTTTAGAGAAGAAAAAGATACACCTAATAACCTCCATCATACTTTCTGCTGTCAACCTCTTCAAAAATTAATTGTGACAAGAAAAAGATAGTGCCAATTTAGAAAAAAGTGAATACCTCTCCTGCATAATGACGGACTGTGAAGGCTTTTTCTCGTTCCCCTCTGAAACAAGAATTCGAATTTAAATGCTGCTTAAGCTTGTTGGCAAATGTCAAATCTGTGCCATTAGGGAACATGGACTCCTCATCTAACAGAGACAATAACCCCAACGGTTTCTGCATAAAAGTTAGAAATAAGGTTTAAAGGACATTGAATTAATACAAAGTGCAAACAAAAGAACACATAAGCACTAAAGACAAGCACAAAAAGCTCTACATCAGTAATGATGTCAGTCTTTAACATTTTTGGTTAACTTCATTATTACATTCACATGAAAATACAGTAAAATACAAAATAGAACTAACTTCACATGCTTCATGAAGTTGCAATCAGTACAATGAAAACATTTTTGTATATTGCAAGTTAGAACATTATTTACAAATGTTTGATAAAAGTTTTTTTCTTTCACACCACATATGCAACCACGCAAAGCATGAATAAATCAAGGTCATGTTCAATCATGGTTATTCTCTTATAAAGTGTAAAAGGCATGATGGTCCTCAAGGTCCATCATACTAACATAGAAATATAGTTTGTACAGGGGCCTTGAGTAATAAATTAATAGTATATAAATTTGGATGTTACACATCAAAATATAAATCCACTAAGTTGAAGCATCAATGAGCATTGTACCTTTTCAAAAAGATTAAGACAGTCTTGGTTGTCTTCAAAATCAACCTTCGCCCAGTCAATACCATCTTGGATATATTCCTGGAAAATTAAAGAATCAAGCAAGTATTTTGTTACAACAGCAAAAAGTGATTTATCTACAAATGACGTCTATGCAAAAGGCCTTCTTTCTTCTTTCTTCTTTCTTCTTATTTTATATTTTCAGAGAAATATCTAGATTAAAGTATCTATTTTTTCAAAAGAAATGTGAAGACTGGATTACATAATATCTTGTGTACACCGTTTCAACCATGCAAATGTTGAGAACACTAATGCCCATCAACAACATTATCAACAACCAGGGGCAAAAGGTCAAGTTAAAAGAACTAATATAAGCCAAAAACAATTAAGGATTCCAATCTTGAATCATATTCAACTAGAAATGAGATATATCGAAGACCAAACCAGCCTCATACAGCCAGTTAAAAATTACTTATGAAAGACCGATCTTATAGAGCCATAGGTTCTTTCTTCTATTTGACAAGAAACAAAGAGACTATCATTAAAAGAAAATTTAAAGATCCATAGATTCTTAATGCTCCTGAATACGAGAGAATATGAAAGCTCCATACACATAATACAATAATAAAAATATTTTTCAAACCAGAGATGTCAATATCTGTTATTTAAGTAAAAATATAAAATCAGCAAACCAGTAGGCTCTGGGCTAGGGATTATCATTTGGTTTCTGATATTAACTACCTAGTTCAGAACTCCCTATCCACTCTAGCAAAATATAAAGGAACTATCAAATTTTAATCACAATTCATAATTGCCAGTATGCTTCTGACCAATAATTTTTTAATACTGATGCAACAAGATAGAAGTTACCTCCTGCTCTAACTTGAATAAATGACGATTAAAGTGTTGCTGTAATCTCTCATTTGCATAATTTATACAGAACTGCTCAAAACTATTTCTCTGCAGGACAAAAAAGGCTGGCATAAATAGATATAAACAGAATTTTAAAAGAGTGCCAGAGTAAAAGAAAATTGTAGCATACATCAAACGATTCAAAGCCATAGATATCAAGAATGCTGATGGATCTGCCAGTTCGTCTTTTGCCAACCGCAAGTGACTTGTTAATTTGTTCAACAAGCCACTCAAACAAACAAGCATAGATTGATTTTGCTAAAGCATCTCTTGTGTCAATGGCCTGAAAGATGTAAGGCAATTTGTTGATCAGCAATGCAATCACAAAATTTTAATTTCAATAAATATTTTAATCCATGCAGCAATTTCCCACATTTTGAACTTATTAATGTGTAAACATAACTTTAGAATTCCCATTCAACCAAATGACGGAATGCACAAAAAGTTAGCGCAATCTAATCAGCAAAAATATTATGACACAAATTAAAAAAAGTAGAGAACCTACAAAAAAAGAAGTTATGAATTCTCTGTAAAAGGTTTCTTACCTGTGAAAGTGTTAACTTCTGGACAATAATATCATTACCAACTCTCATTTTACGAGTTGACAAGGCTAGATTAAGATCCTCAATGTTGCATCCAATCAATTTAGCAACAGTGATTAAAGCTGCACATAAGTGATAAAATCTCAGGTGAGATCACAAAAAGTCAGGAAGCAATAAACCAAACATGAAGTAATATTCATATTAGTAACATTGTGCTACATTATATCACCATACGCAAAAAACATAACTTTAAAATGAACATTGTCAGTGACAACTAATTGCAACTTGATGTGTTGACAAAATCTGGGATCACATACACAAGCTAATGGCAGTTATATGGTAGCATCTGTAACCAAATTCCAATAATGTGTACACATGTTTTCAAGACAGCCTATACAAAATAATGGGCTAATTATGTGACATAAAAAATTGTACACATAACATACACATGTAAAAAATGTCATCCTATTGTAATTGGAAAAGACGCTACGAGTAAACACCGTCCTACTGTCAACTCAGTATGGAAAATCAGGACTTACCGAGAATTATCAGTTTGTTCTCACAATTACAGCCCTAGATAGCTCTTCAGTTCAAAAAATTTTCACAACATACATCTTAATGAAACTTTAGTCATGTTGTTCATATATGTGGATGTACAATCATGGGCCAAATCTCTTCTAGCCATGATTTACAGAGAAAAATAGTTGTAATACACAGAAGTAATCAAAACACAATGTCTAGGGCATCATCAGCCGAAAGATTCTCACCTTCATCTGCCACAGCTTCAACATGGTTTTCATTATCGATCACAGTAAATGAGACGTTTCCCAGCCACAGTACAGCAGCAAGCATTGCAAAAACACTCTCCTGGTCTTCTTTGCTGACATGGACAATATCTAGGGCTTCCTGGAATAGCCAGAGTTGATATGCACAAAAACCTTTAATTTTTCAATATAAAACTGGAGATAAAGAAATCTAGAGTAGGAGGAACTGAGAAAGGGAAAAGGTACCACAACAACGCGAAATTCTTCAGCATCATCAACCCTGGCAATTGAATAACAACTACTTTGCCTCAAATATTTGTACTCATTTGCATTCATCAAATTTAGCTTCTCTGTGTTAAAAAATTAATAAACAGATGTAAGGAAACAACTCAAAAATAACTATTAAATAAAAACAATGAACATGTGTCTCTAAAATGAAGTCACTTGCAATACAAAGCTAGAGAGTTTGGGGAAGCATAGGTCACAGGTTTCAGATCACAAATTAAAGAACAAATGAGACAATAATAAGATAGGGATATGCTGCCAGCCTATGCTTATGGGGAAAATTCATTAGCAGATTCTTCCATCATTAGCTTTAAGAGATATAGTGACAAATAGGAAATCAGAATGGAAGATTCAAGATCCATTATAGCAGATTTTATGAGCATACTTGCTCATTATTCAAAGTCTGAAGACAAGTTAGATACGCAGCAACGCTTACTGGAAATCATCATTAATAGAAAGAATTATTGGAGAGAATAATGCCTGCATTGAAGAAATTGAATCATTTAGATATAATTGTTATAAAGAAAGAAAAGATAAGAAGTAATGAACACCTCTAAGCGAAGATGGAGCCCCAGCACAAAGCTGATAAAATATATGATATGACCTTTCTCCCTCTGCACATTGGACTACCCTAGACTGTTCATAATAGACCAAATAAATAAATAAATTATTGAGCAAAAGGACAGAAAGAATGGGAAGCAAAGAATAATATATTAGAAGAAAATTTATTACCTTTTCAAGTAAAACTGCAAAATAGCAAGAGAGGAACACAGAAACAAAATTTACGTCAGTTTTATTTGCAAATGAAGAAATACACATAAACAAACAAATCTAAAAGAACTTAATTCCAGTCCAGCAATACGAATTATCTTACAAGTTTGAATCTTGGCACCCGAAATTTTTCCAGTTTCACTAAAGTGAATTTCTATCAGCTTTCCCTGAGACAAGTTCACCCAGACTATTAATACTTGCCACTTAAAAGGCTAAAAGTAAAACAACTTCAGATAGTGTACGACTGCTAGACCAGAACAAAAGAAGTTAAATAACTTTGAGATGTTCATGCAAGGAACAGGGAGCTTACAAAGCGACTTGAGTTGTCATTTCTCGATGTTTTGGCATTACCAAATGCTTCTAAGATTCAATTAGTCTTCAATATTTCATATTCTATCCCACTGCCACCACCAAGAGCAGCTAAATATTGCATCGCTATTTTTGCTGTCTCAGTTTTTCCTGCTCCACTTTCACCACTGGACAAGTAGGTGAATATTAGAATCAATACATGAATATAGGTATACTTTTTGAAACAGCAACAGAATTTTAAAATTCGACAGATATAGGGGAGCATCTCATGGCTATAAGTCAGACTCTGCAAAGGATACAAAAGGGATAACTTGAACAAAACTACCATGTTTCATTCCACATCACAGTATGGGGAAAACTAGAGTAAAGTAGGGCATCTAGCCAGCCACCAAAAAGACAAAGCACAAAGGGAGGAAATAGGTAATAAACTTTCATTATACTTGATGAGAAATGACTTGGAATGAAATGCGCTCAAACCAGCTCGGATGCAATATAAACATGAGTAAAGCAATATATCCATAATCAAAAAGCAAATACAATGAACTGCAATATTCAGGTTGACCCATCTAGGCATACAATACAAACAGAATGATAAATGGAAAATATGACAAAAGGTTGAAAAGATAAAATCAAGTTAGTTATTAGTTACAGTCTACAAACCTTATGATGATCGATTGATTTACTTTCATCAGGGAAAAGAAAACAAGACAGAAGTAGTATACCACAGAGAGAGAACAATTGCTAATACAGGACCGCTCAATCCAATACTATTAAACACAAAATGCACCTCGTGTCATTTCTCGGATGGCTGTATCTGTAATAGCATACACATGCGGGCTCTAAATAGATTTGTTCTTATATGCTTCAATATAGTCATTTCCATATAAAGGAACTTTCTTGAAGGGATTGCTAGCAACCAACACAGGTCCTGCTTTGGTCTATATTGCACACAATTATACCCAGTAAAAGAATTAAAAAAAGCTTGCAACATACTACCAGAATTAAAATTAAATATAACATCAATATGAAAACACTTACATAAATCGTATCTTGATAGTATCTATAATGAAGATTGTACAATACTGCCGGTTCATTCAAATAGCTAAGTTGCATGAGATCATCGACACCATCAAGGATATCGGGATTTGCCAAAATCAAACTTTCAGATTTCACCTTCTGAACCTACAATATATGCATTAAAAAAAAGGGTCAAACACTAAATTGAATACAACATTTTCAACGTTACTGAAATCTCACTTACTTTTCCCTCAGGCAGTGAAACAACTGATTCTTTCCCTGAAGTTGAGACTATCTTCACAAGCTCCCAGTTTCCATTTGGAAGTTGAAGCCAAGATTGAAGTTTCTGAAACAATTAACTTCAACAAGTAGGTAAAAAAAAATCAATGAATTGTAAGTTAAGGATGTCTATTTGAGGTGACTGGCCATGATTTGAAATCCATCACTGTTATGTCAAGCCAGTGATTCGGAAACTATATACACATTTATGATTTGAAAAAGTGTTGCTTTCCTTGGCGCACAAAGCCAAGAACTGGTCGCCCACCCACAGCAAACCCAACAAACAGCAACCAAAAGCAAACATGGCACATGCCATCCCTAAGCAAACTCTAGCACAAGCCAAAATAAGCACCTGCAGACTAAACCAAGCACCACCACAAACCAGCCCACCAACCCACCCAAAAGCCAAACACCGGCCACCCACAACCCAAGACCCCTGCTGCCCAGAAACAAACTCTTGCACAAACCAAACAAGCACGTGCAGACAGAAGCAAAACCACCCCAAACAAGCCCACCAACCGAGCCAACAGCCAAGCACCAGCCACCAGCCACCAGCCACCCACAACCCAAAACCCCTGCCGCCCACACAACCGAACCAGCAGACAGAAAAGCCAACAAACCAACAGACAGGGACACCAGTACCCCTCCCGGATCAACACACCCCAAACCCCGAAACCACATCAACCACATTAACCCCCAAGACCCCTCCCAAAGACACTTCTCGGGGTATTCCACTCATACAACACATTTAAAACACGGGAATTCTCCTTAAGGCGAAGACTCATAATCCGGCGCCCCGTAATGTTAATAACCCAGCACNTACAAGAGTAGATTGGATTTCTACAAAAGCAAAAAACCAAAATAACACTTAGAGAGGAAAAAATATGTACAAACATGTCTAGTTGAATCTTTGGTGTAAGTGACTAACTGGTACATAGGCAGAAGAAGAGTCCTCCCAGCCAAAAAAATAAATAAATAAATAATAAGAAACTAGCTATCTAACAACCCTTGCCCAATTGACCTCAGAAAGAAGAGTTAAGGAAATCCTTTGAAACTGAGGCCCAAAGAGGCCAACTACTGAGAAGCCTATCGCTATAAAAGTACTATAATCTTGACAGATTAACTATAATTGTATTTGATCATAGAAGAAGATATAATTAATATAAATTTTAGTTAGTTATGGAATTATTAAGACTTTGATTTCCTATTGGAGCTAGGGTTTTGATGGTTTAAAGATCCCAACCCAAAGTTTATATAAGTACCTTTTCCAGGATTTGTGAGACAGATATTTCATAATACCAAGAGAAGCACATGGCACATCACTAAGTCACTCTAACACTAGACCTAAGAGAGCAATAGAAGAAGGGATAGGAGATTGCAGCAAAGCCTTCCAAGGCAAATCAGAGTTGCTTTCTAGTTTTCCCCAAATTCTTTAAGATCAAAGTGTGCACGCCCATAATCTTTCTAGTTCTAAAGGATATGATGACAGTTTGAAGCAAAAGCTTTAAGAACATTCAAGACTATAAATGACTTAAACCTACCACAGTATAAATGACGCTAACAAGAAGTAAATTCAATTTCTACAAGCTTCTGTAATCTGAAACTAACACGAACTTTTCTTCTTTCGTATGACACATCACAACTGCTCATTGCTATAAAAGAAGCAGCGCACTGAATATTATGCAGCACAACAATTGGCCTTGGGATATGTTAGGCTAACTCCCTAGCGAAACACTAAACCATTTATGGTTGTGATACCAAAGCCACGTTATCAAATCTTGATGTACTTCAGTTATTCAATTTATATAAGACCTAAGAGACAAAAATGAAGAGTACATACAATGTCTGTAGCATATAAAAGTGATATTACACTACAAAAATAGCTAATTTGATCAAACCTATGATAAACTAATCTCACATTTTCCAATTGGTATTACTTGTTTACTAATCATGGTTAATAAATGGTCGCCAAATTTCAACTGCTACTGACTGCAATAAGAACATTCTACAAATTACAAAGTGCATGCATCAACTTATTGAAGAACAACTATTCTAAGGTTCAAGGGACCAGGAAAGAAATATTAAGAAACAACTTAGTAGTTTTTATTATACTAGCACGCATACAGAAATTAATTTTATGAAAAATATTTCGCATAACAATTCTATATAGATGCTAAGGAAACAAAACATAAAGCTGTAGTACGTAAAACCTTTTAGTTAAAGTGAACAAGATTACCACACTAAGAACGAAGGCTATATATTCTTATTAGAATTAAGTTAGAAGCCACAAAATACCTTTTTGGCAGCATAGGAGGTGGTGTCACCCCACCTGCGATCACTACGGGATGCTGAGATTGAAGGCATAGGCGAAGCCATAGAATCCAAGTCTTCATCACCCATAGTGGGCCTATCTTCAACCAAAACATTACTCCCACTATAAGGTGAGTCCTCATTATCAACTGCCTCAACAACCTCATTCCTTATCTGACCATTTTCAAGGGAACTTGAACCGATAACATCACTATGTTCTAAATTTACATTGTTACACTTTTCAATCGGATCAGAAGCTGGTGAACCCATGAACCTAACATCAACTGGTAACGATTTGATGGACTGAAAAGGAGGTGGGACCTGGGTTTTCTGCGACATTTTCTCCGATCCTGAAGAAATGGAGTTTTGAGGATGCCATTAGATAAAGGAATTAATATTAAAAGCTACTTTTTATATCTAAAAGTTCAATCATGCTTTATGAAAAGACCCCACTTCAAGACTAATCAGACGAACCTTATGGCGGGGACCATGATTTTTTAGATATAGACCTTAGTGAGTTCTTGAAATATCACAGTCATACCATTATCAAGTTCCACAAACCTTCAAACATATGAAACAAAATACAGGTCTTAATCGAACATCTACATATCAAATTTATCACATTAAAACTGTGAAATGGTTCGTTAGTTGAATCAATACTTGAAATTCCTAATCTCAAACTAACATAACTTCAAAAAAGTTTCCACAAAAATGGGTTTTTCCTTTGGTTTCCCGGAAAATACAACAGAACTCAAATAAATAAATAAATAAATGATAGAAATTTAGAACCATTAAGTATCAGTTGGCACCATAGAACTCAAATTTCTCTTTTTTTCTTCCAGTTTCTCGCCAACTAAACAAAGAGTAAAGTTTAAAAAACAGAATCTTGCAAATCAAAACCGATCTAATCGCAAATTGCAATTCCAAAGCTTCAACAACCACAAAGGATAACATTCAACACACTTACCTAGAAAAAGTCAAACCAAACTTGATATTCTCAGTACAGTACTCGCAAGCTTCGATCGATCTCACCGCAACAGGAACAGCAGCAGCTCCGCATTACAGTGATAAAAAAACCAAATTAAAAGAGGCTGAGATGAAGCAAAGTGAAAATACTGTAACTGAATTGTATATACTCCTGGGAACAGAGTATATGAACGTGAAGGAGTGTTTGGCTTCTGAGAAAGTGAGAAGAGAAAAAAATAAAAATTACAATGAATAGAAAATTTTAAGGCGTGTGGAGATTATGCAGCTTTTGTTTCTCTGCTTCTCTTCACACATTAAAAAGAAAAAAATAAAAAAATAAATTCAAAGTCGTCCTTTTCTTATTTCTATTTTGATTTAAATTTTGTTTGAATTTTGGGGGGTTTTTTACGCACCAACCAAATTTAAAACAAAAGCTGTTAAGGCCTTTTTAATGTTGACATATTGGTGTTTAATGACGATTATACCCCTGTTTACTTCTCTTTATTAATCAAAGTATTTTTCGTGAGAGATTTCTCACAATTCTAAAATTAATTCTATTTTTATGACGTCTCTGCATTTTTATTTTTTATTACTTTCTTTCATTGCCCCAAAATTGTCTGTGTGGGGGAACCGGCAAAACATCTTCTTTTACCGACTAAGAAAGTGATGATTCTATAATTAATCTGAATTTGGCGGGCTAAGTCATAAATTAATTTACTTTATAATGTGTTGAGAAAGTGGTCCAAATCCTATGAGGAAAATCTTAAGCCTAAATACCGCCACGAAGGTGTCAAATATCCATCACTAATAAAGCTGATGGTTTTGAAACTCCCAACACCAACTGATTCTTTTCGTGGTTGTGCTTTTCTTTAATGTAGAAAATGTTATTTAGATGAGGTGGTTCGGTACTTTGGTTACACATTAATTATGAAAATCAAGGATTAATTTAACAATAGCAATAATGTCCTCACCGTCCCATTCTGTTACATGTTTAATGGTAATCATTAAAACGTTATAACTGGAGTTGGTAAATGCAATAGATGGAGGGAGTCAGTCAACAGGGGAAAGAGTCAATGATTGATGATATCAACGGAGAGAAATGAGGAAGTAAAGGTGGAAGCAAGAGCAGGCGATTACGACACGCTAAGAACCTTTCCAAAAAGCCGGCAAAAAGTTAAGTGTATTGCACTGATACTCTGGTTTCGATTGTCGAATTAGAAAAGAATAGATTGGGTCCCAGAGGGACTACCCTCATCCGGCCAATCACAACCTTGGAATTATTTTTTTTTAATTTATTTTTGGGTGTCGTTTTAATTTTAACGTTGAAGGGGATAAACGTTAGTAAGGATTGGAAAGAAAACAAACGCTAGGATGTTGCGATTGACAATTGTACGCGTTAAGCCAAAATCAAGTCTCGTAGACGTAAGACTTGTTGTGCTGGATTCAGTAGGAGTCTTCTACTGATATGACATTACAATCTCGAAATTAAATACGGTATTATTCTATTAATCTCTTTTAAGATAGGGTTTATATATTAGTGAATCACGTGATTAATTGGTCCATAAATACCTTTTACATTTATGACAGTTATTTTATGTATGAATTTTTTTTTATAAAAGTAAAATTATAATGTTTTAGAAAAAAAAAAAGGAAAAGAAATTGACATTAAACAAATAAAATCGTATATTTGTAATTTTGGTTGGTAATTAATGTGATTATGAAGGTTAATGTTTTGATAAATAATAAATTTTATTTAATTGAAATTCCGAAAACTGTCCTTACCCGGAAATAACATAGTTGGTGTGATGCGATGACAATCATTGTTGATCATGTGGACTCTTCACCAAAAGTGGGCTTCACATGACATTCCACTCCCCAACAAACCAGACCTTAAAATCCTTAATCCTACTTAATTTTTTAATCTTTCTATTTAAACTAAATGTATATATTTATCTATTATTAGAACAAAATGATTGAATGGTTGAAAAGTAATTTCAAATTTAATTAGTTTTTGCTTGATTTGTGACTGTAGGTTATAAAATAAAGAAGCTGTGTAATTAGTAAGGAGTAGTGGAACTTGATCACCGGCCCAAATTAAAATTAAATAGTTTCAGCTCAAAATTCAAAAGCTTCACCGCTGTATTAAATATTGATTTGAATGAGGCTACCATTGCGCTGGCAGTATGTTTCAAGTCCAACTACTTCAGTTTTACTTTTGCTTACATACTCCACGTGCAGGCACCCTTAGGCCCTGTACGATATTTCCAAATAAATACGCTAGTTTTTTTTCTTTTTGTTATCATTGTCTAAAAAAAATAAGAAAATTTGTCTGTTAAAATGGTTAAAAAATATTTAGAAAACATTATTTGTTGAATATAAAGACATATCTAGACCCGTTACAAACTCTTGACATATCCATTTACCATTTTTGTTGGCATGAACCCTTATTATTAGAATTTGTGTTACCAAATTGTCATCCCTAAATTAAAGTCAATCTAAAATTTTGATTTGTATAATTGGCATATAAAATTAAATTAAAACATAAATAACCAAAAAAAATGTTATAGGACTATATTAATATTCCAGTGCAAATCTTTTAAAAGCAAAAATCAAGGGATTGAACTATTACAGCAAAAAAACAGTTGGAACTCATGTTTAGATTAGATTATATGAGAAATTCTAAGGGAGTCAAATACTATTTACTTCCTGCCTACAACCCATAGAATTTGATTTTGTAATTGAAGGTTCAATAATTAGGTCCAAGCTGTACTAATCCAATTCTCATAATTATTGATTAGTGAATAAGATATGGCACTATAGTACAAAATTAATGATTCTAATTAGAGTGAAAGCAAATAATTAAATGGACAAAAGTTATACCAATAAAAACTAACAAAAAGTTAAGAAAAATAAAAATATCCACAGATAGCTTATTAAAAGTTTGTAAATAAATATTAATTAAGCATTTTAAAACATATAAGAGGTTTGATAGAAGATCCGGAGGTATGAAGCTTTGTGGAGAATCAGATTGTTTATAATTAAAATGTAATGTGGCTCAGAATGTAACGAGATTTAAATCATTCATGGCATAAGCCACAAACAGTAGCGGCCGACATTCCCTCATTTGGCATCTCACTTTATAATCCCTCATTTATATATGTAATGCATGTGACAATTCTCGCCATGTTTTAAGATTTTCCTTGGATTTTCTCCGTAATCAAATTCAACCCATTAATATGGGGGAGTTAAAGACTTTTTCCTACCCAAATAATGTTTTAATAATACTTTCTCACTCACGAATTGTATATACTCCTGGGAACAGAGTATATGAACGTGAAGGAGTGTTTGGCTTCTGAGAAAGTGAGGAGAGAAAAAAATAAAAATTACAAATGAATAGAAAATTTTAAGGCGTGTGGAGATTATGCAGCTTTTGTTTCTCTGCTTCTCTTCACACATTAAAAAGAAAAAAATAAATAAATAAATTCAAAGTCGTCCTTTTCTTATTTCTATTTTGATTTAAATTGCGTTTGAATTTTGGGGGGTTTTTTACGCACCAACCAAATTTAAAACAAAGGCTGTTAAGGCCTTTTTAGTTTTTAATGTTGACAGATTGGAGTTTAATGACGATTATACCCCTGTTTACTTCTCTTTATTAATCAAAGTATTTTTCGTAAGAGATTTCTCACAATTCTAAAATTAATTCTATTTTTATGACGTCTCTGCATTTTTTTTTTTTATTACTTTCTTTCATTGCCCCAAAATTGTCTGTGTGGGGGAACCGGCAAAACAACTCAAAACATCTTCTTTTACCGACTAAGAAAGTGATGATTCTATAATTAATCTGAATTTGGCGGGCTAAGTCATAAATTTTCTTCCTTTAATTTACTTTATAATGTGTTGAGAAAGTGGTCCAAATCCCATGAGGAAAATCTTAAGCCTAAATACCGCCACGAAGGTGTCAAATATCCATCACTAATAAAGCTGATGGTTTTGAAACTCCCAACACCAACTGATTCTTTTCGTGGTTGTGCTTTTCTTTAATGTAGAAAATGTTATTTAGATGAGGTGGTTCGGTACTTTGGTTACACATTAATTATGAAAATCAAGGATTAATTTAACAATAGCAATAATGTCCTCACCGTCCCATTCTGTTACATGTTTAATGGTAATCATTAAAACGTTATAACTGGAGTTGGTAAATCCAATAGATGGAGGAAGTCAGTCAACAGTGGAAAGAGTCAATGATTGATGAAATCAACGGAGAGAAATGAGACGTAAAGGTGGAAGCAAGAGCAGGCGATTACGACACGCTAAGAACCTTTCCAAAAAGCCGGCAAAATGTTAAGTGTATTGCACTGATACTGTCTGGTTTCGATTGTCGAATTAGAAAAGAATATATTGGGTCCCAGAGGGACTCACCCTCATCCGGCCAATCACAACCCTTGGAATTATAATTTTTTTTTAATTTTATTTTGGGTGTCGTTTTAACTTTTAACGTTGAAGGGGATAAAACGTTAGTAAGGATTGGAGAAAGAAAACAAACGCTAGGATGTTGTGCGATTGACAATTGTACGCGTTAAGCCAAAAATCAAGTCTCGTATGACGTAAGACTTGTTGTGCTGGATTCAGTAGTAGGTCTTCTACTGAGTCTGACATTACAATCTCGAAATTAAATACGGTTTTATTCTATTAATCTCTTTTAGGATTGGGTTTATATATTAGTGAATCATGTGATTAATTGGTCCATAAATACCTTTTACATTTATGACAGTTATTTTATGTATGATTTTTTTTTTATAAAATTAAAATTATAATGTTTTAGAAAAAAAAAAAGGAAAAGAAATTGACATTAAACAAATAAAATCGTATATTTGTAATTTTGGTTGGTAATTAATGTGATTATGAAGGTTAATGTTTTGATAAATAATAAATTTTATTTTATTGAAATTCCGAAAACTGTCCTTACCCGGAAATAACATAGTTGGTGTGATGCGATGACAATCATTGTTGATCATGTGGACTCTTCACCAAAAGTGGGCTTCACATGACATTCCACTCCCCAACAAACCAGACCTTAAAATCCTTAATCCTACTTAATTTTTTAATCTTTCTATTTAAACTAAATATATATATTTATCTATTATTAGAACAAAATGATTGAATGGTTGAAAAGTAATTTCAAATTTAATTAGTTTTTGCTTGATTTGTGACTGTAGGTTATAAAATAAAGAAGCTGTGT